AAATGTTTTATTTATTGTGATCTGGGATATGGTAGTTTTCAAAAAGATAAAATTACATAAAGTAACCAAAATAAAAGCACATAATGGGTCAGTAATTATGTATGCTAATATATGTGAACAGTGAACACACCTGTATATAAAATATATACATATATATGTAATATAAAATATATTATTACTGCAGATATATAATGTCTAAAGGCTTCATATCAAATGGTACAGTCTGGGCAGAAGGACTATGGTGCTGGGATGTGGAGGCAGAAACTTTTTTTTGCTTTTTATATTTCTTACTGATGTTTTAGAAAAATTTTATTATATAATTTAGTACATATTTCATGAATGTGAAGTAGTATCTGCAGTATGAATCATCACAGTGGTATAGCCATAGAGCTGTGGGGGTTCGGAGGAGGACTTCATTTTCTACTAGAGGGTATGTAAAAAGTTTGCAGGAATAGGTGAGTTTTTGTACTCTCTCTCCCATCTGAGCAAAACATGCACAAGCAGGGGTGAAGGGAGGTCTAGGTAGGGGATCAGTGAGAAAATGTATGAATACTGGGAGGAGTGAGTAATAGAAGCAACATCAGGTCACCTGGCTGGAATATGGGAGAGTAGAAAAGAGTGGCTGCTTTGTGTGAAAGGTCCCTGGGGACGTTTATAATGGAGGGATCAGGCTGCATCTGTTGTACCCCCTAATTAATCTTAATATCCCTAGAAGTAGGACAAGCACTGTGACATATTCTTTTTTTTTTATTAAGGTATCATTGATGTGCAATCTTAGGAAGGTTTCATATGAGCAACCTGGTGGCTACTACATTCACCCATATTATTGAGTTTCCCCCACACCCCATTGCAATCACTGTCCATCAGCGCAGTAAGATGCCAGAGTCACTACTTGCTGTGACATGTTCTTGCAAAAAAAAAAATCTAACTGAACCTTAAGATCTAAATAGCAGTTGACAAAAAATATGGGAAACAGAGAAACATTTATACAAGACCATAAGGATACATTCACCTAAATCTAGAATGTGAGAAATTCTACAGGATGAATGAACTATCATCATTTATTAAAGATGAGAAATTATCTTCAATAACTACATGGCATGAAAAGAAAAGAGAAAGAGGGAACTATTATAGATTCAAAGAGATGCAAAAGATGTATCAACCACATCAATATGTGAACCTAATTTGAACAAACTATCTGTATAAAGAAATTTTCTGAGACAGCTGGGAAAATTAGACACTGATAAGGTGTTAGATAAGGAATTCTATTGTTGCATATGAAAGTGGTATCTTTCATATTATAAATATACATACATATATATATATTATGAAAATTTTATCTGCTGGGTTAGAAATATACCCTGAAGTATTTACAGAAGAAATGATAAAATGTCTGCAGTTTGCTTTCAAATATTTCAACAAGAACAATAAATAACAAGAATTGGAGGGGGTGAAGATATGAAGCAAGAATAGCAGAGACTTGATTTTTGAAGCTGAGGGATGAGCCATGGGTGTTCATTTTACTCTTCTACATGCTTTTGTTCTATAATCTATAATAGTTCCCTCTTTCTCTTTTCTTTTCATGCCATGTAGTGTGTTTTAAGGCCAAGAAGGAGTTTGAACTTTATTGTGTAGTGCCAGAAAACTTGTGAAGGGTTTTGGGCTCAGGAGGGGGTATGGGAAGGGCCAGAAAGCTTAATCTGGTAACAGTGTGTGAAATGGCCAGGAAGGAGGACTAGAGGTGGGAGCCTTTTTAAGACCTTGTCTTGGTGTTAAAAGTACAAGTTTCCAATTATAAATAAGCCATAGTCTGTAATGTACAGCATGGTGACTATAGCTAATAATGCTGTATTACATATTTGAGAGTTTCTAAGAGTAAATCTTAAAATTTCTTATCACAAGAAGAACATTTTTAGTAACTACATATGGTGGTAGGTGTTAACTAGACTTACTATGATCATTTCACAATATATACAAATTTCAAATCATTACATTGTACACCTGAAACTACAGTGTTATATGTCAGTTATACCTTAGTTGAAAAAAAAAAAAAGACCTTGATTAAGGTGGTGGACGTTAGAATGGAAACGTTTTTGAGATCAGGTAGAGGAAGTAAATTCAAAAGAGGAACCCTGGTGGGTTGGCAGTACAGAATTGAATCAAGTACATGATGGGGAAACTTCCATTCTTCCTCTTCAGTCAGTAGCAATGATTGTCCTTAAGCCACTGCACTGGCACCGTAGGGTAGGACGACGGGAGAGGGAGAAGGGATCTTCATTTAGGAGGGACTGAACCAGCCCAGGTGGAAAATGGATTAACAAAGAGTTCTGTAGGGTTTTTTCCCCCCCTTCTTTTTCACAAGAAATTACCCTTTTGTGGTTTCAGTATGACATTTATAGACAACAGTGATTCATTTTGATCATCTTTCCTGTTTTATTGGGGGAAAGAGTGATAATCTTTGTCTATGGCCCCATCTGAATTATTTATGATAATTGTTAAGACAGACACTCTATTATTCATTTGTGAAACTGGACACTTTACAATGTGTGTGGTGTTAATTAAATAAGTTGGAATGATACAGTCTGGCAAAACAAAAGTTAAACTATAGTAAGTTAATGAAAACTTAGATGTAAATAGCTTCTGATTTATCAATAGCAAAAACATTAAAAATAAACCTCAGATTCAGTAGAAAGTAGCAGTTAGAGATTAAAGAGAAATGGTAGTTTTCCAGCCCTGTACAATCAAACGTCACTAGTACTTCAAAATTATACACCCCCCAGAGAATAGGTTCCTGATCACTTTTGCCCTCTTCCTCTTGATTCTTCTTTTTCAAGAAATTAACACTCCAAACTGCAGTATGGGCTATTTCCTATGAGTAAAGCCCATTTTTTCTGTCTCAATTTAACATATGTATTTAGAGATGGCTGAGCTGGGATAGAGAAAAAATACTGAAACATGATGTGTTCTTTACCCTTACTCTGCATCAAGGTGTGAGGGAACTTTTGGGACTGCCTAACACGACTTGTACTTCCATCCACCCAGGCTGGCATCTACCACCACAGCTTGGATAGTCCGAAAGAAGTAACAGTTTAGTTTTGCTGTTGGCCTCAGCGCAATTAAAGTAGAATTTCTAATTCATGGTAGCTGTTATAAAAAGCTTACAGGGAGGAAAGAAAAGAAGAGATTCCTAGCTAAAAGCAAAAGAGGTAGTTTTTATTTTATTAAGGGATGCATAACAGAGCCGCTGGGTCACAGGAGAGATGGGATGGAGGGACACATGGTTCCGAGTCTTATTATGGAAAAGGTTGAACTACCATCAGTGCTTGATGGAAATGAGAGGGGTGAGGTGGGAGCATGTCTCTAACAGCACTACCTCCCTTATTGCATTATCAGAAAAGAAAGATAACCTGAGAATAGGCATCCATTATCTCTCCCTACAAAGGGATTAGTGTGGGTTGCAAGAAATTAATGGCTTTTGAGTTATCGCAGAAATACTAATGAATGTCAGGATGGGAGATGTAAAGCAGGTAAAACTGGCTTTTCTCAGTCTCATTTCTCTCCTTTTTTTTTCCGTTAGCTATTTTAAGATCTAGATCTGTGTTACTCTTTTTCGTCAGCCAGTATCAGATATCATACCCTTTGGGAGTATGATTTGTCTTCTTTAGGGAGTGATTCAATTAGTTTATGACCATCTTCAATGTGTGTCAGCAAACAGACTTAGAAACATCTCAGAAATAAGATCTCCACCAGGGAGGAATGCTCCCTTTTCCATGGACGTCATTCTCATGCTTGCTACAAGCATCAGAAGTCTTCCAAGGGACAGTCCCCTTCTATTAAAGTACTAAACTTGTATATATTGCAGGTAACCATTGATTAAAGATGGCATAACCAGATAAACCTGTGAAACAGAGGGGAAGAGAAGGGAATTATACTTACATATGTCAGGCACTGTGCTAGGAGCTTTGTTTTTGATTCACCAAGCACTGTTTAAGTACCAGGCGTTTCACCATGTGCTGTGACATAAGAACAAAAAAACAGATCTCACCCCTGTCCTCAGGGGAGTTTATAGTCCAGCAGGGAGGACACACTTTTTAAAGAAACTTCATAATTTATTTTATTTGCTTAGATATTCAAATAAACTATTATAATACAGCCTGATAAGAGCCCATCAAAGAGGAAAGTCGTAGTAGGACTACCTGATACTGACCCAGTGATATGTGTGTGTGCAGACAGGGGGTAGGGGCTGAGGGAGTGGGGACCAGCTCTCTTTCTGAACGAGAGGCTAGCTGAGTGAAGGGTAGTGTGGCAGCTCTTGGAAGTGGTGGAAGGAGCATTGCAAGTAGCAGGAGCAGCATCAGCACCTACGTACAGCCAGGCTCAGGGGGACAGATTGCTCTCTAAGCAGAGGCCTAAAACATGGTTGAGTCAAGTATGGAGGACTGGCCACAGGACAGAAGATTCACGAACGGGCCCTGAAGACTAATGGGGATGCCTGAAAACAGGAGTCTGTGCAAACAGCAGGCTTCTTGCTCTGCCCTTCCCAGTCGCCCTTCCTGGCCTTGCCAACTTAAAGAAAGGCCAGAGTATAGCAAGAGGAACATTCTCTCTTGTGTATTTGGTCCTCTGTAGAACGTTAACTAGAAAACAAGAAATCCTGGCAAAGTGCAATTGTTTTGTGGGCCCATGGGCATAGTCATGATATTGCAGTATTTCTGTTTTCCACCCAGACCTTTGCTTGTCACACTGACGCTGTAAACTATTCCCCTGCCCCCAGTACTTACTCTTGCACTCATAATTCCACCCTAGTTAAGTTTTTTAAACCCGAAAAATTTCCACAATTACATCCTGTCAATTAGGTGCTGTCTTGGAATTTTACAACTTCCACTATGTTCAGTTTGAACCCTGATCTGTTTGGTTTCTTGCACCTACCTTTTCATCTCATTGAATTCATTCATATTAATGAATTCATACATTGCCTCTTTTTTTTTCTTTCTTTCTAGAACACAAGCAGGCATTCCCAAACATCCTGAAGAAGGGTTACCTGGAGGTGAGGAAGGACCACGACAATTACTGGCAAAGCTGTTATGCAGAACTCTCCCCGTACAGCTTACACTTCTACAGCCTTGACAGCAGCGGGAATCAAAACCTCTATGCCACATACCAGCTTGCACACTTTCAGAGCATATCTGTTTTGGGGAACCTGGAGGCCAGACTTGTGGATACCGTTCTGTATGACAACACCCAGCTACAGCTAAAGGCAGAGTCACCGTGGGAGGCTTTGGACTGGGGGCAGAAGCTTTGGGAGGTCGTGCATGCTGCTGTTCCTGGCTATGTGAGACGGCAGGATGAGCTGGCAGACTCCCCAGGGCTCAGCCATCATGTCACCTGTACTCAGAATCATTGTTTACAGAAGAAATCCAGTGAGCTGCTCACACCATCCCCTGTCTCGGAGAGCCCCAAACAGTACCAAAACATCCTCAAGTCAGGGACACTCTACAGGCTAACTGTCCAAAACAACTGGAAGGCATTTACCTTTGTGTTGAGCAGGGCCTACCTTATGGCTTTTCAGCCTGGCAAGCTAGATGAGGATCCCCTGCTCAGCTACAATGTGGATGTGTGTCTGGCTGTCCAGATGGACAACCTGGATGACTGTGACTCTTGTTTTCAAGTTATTTTCCCCCAAGATGTCCTCCGCCTCCGTGCTGAGACCCGGCAGAGGGCTCAGGAGTGGATGGAGGCTCTGAAAACAGCTGCCAATGTAGCGAGGAGCTCAGAACAAAACCTGCAAGTCACACTGAGGAGCAAACCCATGGATCAGATGGGTGGGCATGAGCTCAGGAAGAACAAACGTCAGTCTGTGACCACCAGCTTCCTCAGCATTCTGACAACTTTATCTTTGGAACGAGGACTCACTGCTCAGAGTTTCAAGTGTGCAGGTATGAAACAGATTTTTAGCTTAAAGCTTATTAAAGAACAGTCCTGAATCCCACAGTTGGAATTCACTTTAAAAATCCCCCAACAGGCCAGTCATAGCTACATCTTATTTAAAAAGCATCTCTCCTTCAAGGAATTTACTGTATTAAAACATTTGTCTATCTTCATACCATGCTGGTGAAGTCAGTGGAGGCAGATATGATATACCCACTGAATCAAAATGACTTGGTGGGAGCATGACCAGACTAGAATTTAGGCTTCTTGAGTCAGCTGTGATTCCGTTTCCTCTGCCTTCTTAACTAAAGGTCACTGGGAATGTGATTGTCACAGTGTGCCTATAAGAGACATTTGGGCCCAAAGCTGACTACAGACAGTCCTTAGGCAAGGAAGATGCCCAGAGTCAGTAACTGTCATTGATCTGACCTTGTCAAATCCTGTTAAGGTAGAATCTAGAAAGCCAGCCTTGACAGAGAATCTGGAGGTGGCTAAGAGCAGGGTAGATGATGATTCAGCTGATGACTTCTGAGTCACCACTGGCTTGTGCTTCATCCTGGGAACTGCTGTGGACCAGTGAGACACAGAGAAGTTCAAGGCCAATCATCTGTTCCTCCTTAAAACCCTATTACTGCCCTTCCTCCCTACTTTCCATCCCTCTAACCCTCCCCAAAGCGGTAATGTAGAAAGAAAAACCCTCTAAACCAAATCTGTATATCTACTATAAACTAAATCAAATTGTTTCCCTTTCCCTTGTGTCAAGAAGTTTACCATGGAGGTAGCTTTAATTGGAAGCCTGATTTTGAAGAAGTTAATTCAACTATATCAGACTTAAGTATGTTTTAAAAATGAACAGGAATTTAGTCACCATTTTTAATTTTGTGCCTGTTCCTGCACTGAAAAGCCAAATAGTGGTGGAACAATGGAATTTTGAATTTAGGTTAGTTGTGATGATGGCCTTTCCTATTGAAAAATAATTTATCTAATAGGGAGATCTCTGTTTTGTCCAGAGGGCCTCAGTAACTGAGAAGTAGAACTTGCAGGGTTAGGTAGAAGAGACCAGAAATACTGAGCTCGTACAGAAGCCATACTGTGTGATGTGTGCATGTATCTGCAGGCATGAATGACCTTGTGTTAAGCTACTTCTGGAAAATGGTTTTGAAATAAGAAGACAATGGTTTTAACACAGTTTTTAGAAATTATTAACATTTCTGTGTCTTATTATACTACTGCATGTATTATATTTCAGAGTTCAGCCATTCACCTGTCATTTATTAAGTGCTTACTCTGCATACATTCTGGAATTATGGTGCACTTCTGTGGCTTAGATTGCTGATAGGGTCAACAAGTCTGTAGTGTTACTGTGTTATAGCTCAGCTAGTTCTCAATGTAGAGATAAGAGTAGCTGAATCAGGAAGCTTTCTAGTAAAAGAGGGAAGAAAAGCCTCAGGGATTACACAAGGATTGTCACCTAGTTGACCCCTAATTTACCTTCCTCTCTTAAGGTTACTTTCTGATGGAGTGTGCACTGCTAGCGTTCTGTGCTGCACTAATAGCATTTCTAGTTCTCAGACGAAGGGGAAATACAGGTAGAGGGTACCATTCAGCAGGTCCACTGAATCTAACAGAGAAATGAAAACAGGAAAAACACAAAGAAAGGTGGGTAGAAGAGGCAGGGAGAAAGAAGCTAAGTAGAAAAGAGCAGGAGAAGGATTACCTTATGGGCAGGGATAGACATTTTTGGCAGCTGCTTTCGGTTCCATGTTTTAGGGCACCTTCCTTTGCTGTCAAAATTTGCTCACTCGATTTGGCTGGTTGAGAATAGGTGGGTGGGTAGGAATATGGAATCCAGGAGATAGGAGTAATGTAGTCTAAAACTCATTTGCTCTGCCTAGCTTTTATCTTCATGCTCTGGTGTAGAGTTCTAACGGGGCATAGGTAAGTTTCTAATTTGGGGCTGGAGAATTCAACCCTAATTTGCATAGTGTGGCCAGTTCCAAAGTAGATGTTTTTTTTACCTCATTTCAGTGCCCCCTCTTCTATCGGAAAATGCCTCATTCAGTAGCTATTTGAAATCTCGGTTTTAGAGGGCTGCATTTCATTTTCCTTAATTACCCATGCATGGAATACAGGTTTCCTGCCTCAAGTAGGAATACCTCATCTCCTGTAGGGGGCAGAGTCTCAAAAGAAAAAGGCAAAAATTTGATAAGCAAACCTCTGAATGTTTTTTAAATTACTTGGGAGGCTGTTCATTATATCAAAGATTATTACAGCAGATGGAACTTTAAAAATTAATCTGTTTCTCACAAGCACAGTTAATCTAAACCAGCTGTTTATTCATTTAGTATTTGTGCTGCCTAACTTTTCATCCTTGTAAAAACACTAATTGAGTGTAAAAGCTGGTTGCATAGCATGTTTATCTTACAAAATATCAAAAAATCAAGTATTTTCAGTAGAACCTTGGCTTCATCTGTTATTTTAAGGAGAAGCTAATTCACAGTATTTCATGACTTTAGTGAGCCTATTTAGCCTATGAGTTTTTATGTCCACTTAGTCCATCCCCCTTTAAGTATTTTTGACAAACTTCAAAAGTGGAAGATTGCACTGAGTAGCTCTTTATTATGATGTCACTCAGTTGCTGCTCAGAGGAGCCACAAATATTGGTTTTAAATCTACAGAATAGTGCAGTTGGCCTTTTTTCACCAAATTCTTTCTGTAGGTGAACAATTTTCTATATCCTTCCTTGAAACTTAAAGAGGAGCCCCTGCAAAGAAAGTGGACCATGACCATACCCAAATGCCTGAGGTTATGGTTTTGAAAATACATGCTTATGCATAACTGTGTATTTCTTAACATGTGCTTGAACTTTTTATAGTTGTATTTGATTATGTGTTGTTTGTTCCACGACTTCCTCCCCAGGTCCATGACTGCCCCAGGCTGGGAGGTCCCAGCCACAGTGGTCTTCTTGATATTCTGAAACCTACCTTGGTCATTCCTGTCTCCAGGTTCTTTGCACTTGCTGTTCCTTCTTCTTGTAAACATGCCTTTGAAAATTAACCTGTTCATTCGAGCATTTATTGTGGCTGGGTTTCTGACCATGTACCAAAAACTCAGAGGCACCTGGATGAATCAGTGCTGCAAGAAAGCAGACATGGGCCCTGCCCTCAGGGACCTTACAGTCAGGCCACTAGGGAAGACGGACATTAATCACATCACATTGTGAATGCCAAATGGCAGCTGTGACAAGAGCTAACAAGGGAGGCCCACACATCAGATTAGAGAACTGTCAGAGGTGGTGCCAAGTAGAACTATATGAAATTGCAGATACTCAGTCATTTGGGGCCTACAAAAGGCAGTTTGATAAGGCTGATTTTAATGTTCAATCCTGACGCCACAGAAGGTTCCTGAGCAGAGGAGCACATGATGAAAATGGTATTTAAGAACAATTAATTTGGTGGCGCTTTACTGCAGCTTTTCAGAAACACTTCTGTAGCAGAAAATGAGGTCCAGTTCTTTAGTGAAACTATTGGTTGGCATTCTAAATTAGATTTGGCAGTGGGATATCTGTGATATTAAAATATTAAGGCTAAAACAAATGATTTGCAGCTTATTAAAATATTTATGAAATGTGTACCTGTAAGTGGCTCTAAATTAGGTTGTTCACAAAATGCTGTGTAAATTAGATTATAAGGCAGCAGCCCTGTTTTCTTCAGGAGTTAGACATGTGCATACCTACTTCCCCTTAATGGATAGATATATGGTTTTCTTGGCACTAGTAAACACAGATATTTTTCCTATAACTTCCCAGCAATCAAGAAGCCCACCAATTGAGTACTTTAATAAAAGGGCCCAGTGTGGTGTTTATAGGCATGATAAGAGATGCAAAGCTCACCTTTTAAATTGTTCCTTGTGTTACTGCTTTGAAATCTGGAGGTAAAATTGGATGACCCACTGTGGAACAATGTTCTAGATTCTGAACTGAAGTTGAAAATGTTAACAGAAGAGATAGCAAGAAAAGCAAGAAAAACAGTGAGCCTAGGGGAGCCCCTCAACCATTTTCACACTGTCAGTTTTTATGGCTTTCCTCCTTTGCCTGCTCTTTAACCCCTTGGGACTGCTGTTACATATCTCCGGTATTAGGAGCTTTTTGCTTTCCTTTTCCACCCCAGCCCTTCGAAGGGGTAAACCCAAAGGCCGCGGGTGGGGGGGGGGGGGTTCTGTGAATTCTTCAGCCATTTAGTGCAAATTCCTGTAATTACCAGCATTGTGTCCTCTCTGAATGGCACACAATACAGCAGAAGCCATTCCTAATTGAGACCTTACAGGAGGTACAAATCCTCTCTTTGTTCAGGCTGACAAATTAGTGCCAGAAAGTGGCAGGGTCCGAGTGGGAATCAAAGGCAAGAAACACAAAGATGGAACTTAAGGCTACAGTAATAACCCTCTCTTGTCCTGAAGGGAAAAAGGGAATGACCAATGAAAAATGAAGTTTTTTTGTTATAAATTCCCTAGACATGACAGCACCTCGGGGCTGCTCTATTTATTTAGCGAAAGTGATTAAATAGTAATACAACAGGGCTGCCTATTGTCTCCCCTGGGGCCCCCACCTTATAGACCCCTGCTGCCTTGGCTAATTGATTGACAATGAACCTTTGATAAAGAACTATGTTGTTAGGACCTGAGATGGGTGGGGGGCATTTCCCCGCTCTCTTTGTGTGTCTGAGTGCGAGCGAGCGTGCCTGTGTGCCTGTGTGTGTGTGATTTCATTTTTGTTTGAGTTGCACTCCAGTTTTTCTTTACCCCCCACCCTTCTTTCCTTTCTTTGCCCTTACTTTTTCCCCCCCACAGCTTTTCAGGGGTTGCTCCCAGATGACATTCACAAACAGGTAGTGAGGAATTAGAATTGCAGTGCAGGCTTCTGACAAGTTTATCTTTGGCAGAAACTTCCTCCTCTCCCCTTGCTCCATTTAAGACAGAAGGGCAACGTGAGAAGAGAAAAAGGGAAGGG